ACACATCGGTCACGTTTTCATAATCCACAACCGCTAGATATATTGTTGGCATTGCAACGGTTCGATTCTGCAACTAACTAGGTGTCCCGTGCAGGATGTGCCGTTATATCAGGTTCAAACCGCACATGTTCGTCTTTTTTTAATAGTTTATCGTCAGTGATGTGCCACTATTCACACGAGTCACAGGAGTTTCCGCAGTGCATTTTAGCGACAACGTTTAAATCGACTGATTTCGCGTCTATGGTCCCTATACTAACAAGAACTGGTATATAACTGTATGAAGAACACATTAAAATCTAAATCGCGGCAGTATGTAACATCGCAACCAGGGGTGCGACGATACGGGTACCTCCCGATAAGAACCGTTACACGATATAGCCTTTACTAATACGATACGTATCGCGATACTTTCAAGTTTCGACTATCTAGCAAACTGTACACTCAACCGGAACTCTGGCAATCATGTGAACGCTTACAAATCAGTATCGTGAAGCACTTATGTGAACAACTGTTGTGGGATTCGAATTGTGTTATGTTTCTCTTGATTTTAGACGAAACTACGCTACTACTTGATATGGATTGTAGTCAGTAGAGTGTTGATACGTATACCGTATCGATTATTGATATATAGATGAATCATCCCACCAGTGCGTGCAACATGATTCAAAAATCGTTCGACCACAGCAACAATCGACCTGATCAGTTTGATGGTAACAAATGAACTAACGGACTTACTTTAGGCTCATTTTTTGATCGGAGAAAATTCGGCGCAGTGGCTTCTTTTAATTCGAACGGTACATCTCTGCCACACACACACACACACACACACCACACACACACACACACACAACACACACACACACACACACACACACACACACACACACACACACACACACACACACACACACACACACACACACACACGCACGCACGCACACACACACACACACACACACACGTACACGCACACGCACACGCACACGCACACGCACACGCACACGCACACGCACACGCACACACACACACACACACACACACTCATTCACTCACGCGTACGTACGGATACATACACGCAATCACACACGCAAAAGACGCTCACGCTTACCCGCTTACGCACGTGTACCCGCGTATGCAATCACGCACGCACACCATTTATTTGATCTTATGCCTATTCATAGCATGCATGTTATATCTATTCACAAGATATACCGATGTGTTGGCCTATTGGACGGGTTCAAATGACACTCAAACATCTATCTGCTTTAGGTTGTTTTCCTCGTACTAATAAAAGTTACTCGCTATTTTACTCCTTAATTAACTATTGGTCCTAGAGTTTGGTAACACGCCCGCTTGATTCTTATCAAATCTGGTCAGGCGGTGCATACGCTTAATAGTGGCATGTAATTAGATATAAATCGCTCAAGTTCGTCTCGCTAGATCACTGCACGACTCTGTGTCGTAGATTTAAAGTTATATATTATTTAACGGTTAAGATATGTGTTCCTATTATACAGTAAAGGTGAATACTGTCATCTGAAATGCACGAATCACGAACACACGCATATGTCTATATATAACATGCTCAGATTAATAATACGTGAAAGAGCTAAAACGAAAGTGAAAAGAATGAATTTTGCGGGAGTGAAGCGTAGGCCTACTCGTCTGAACACACGTACGTACACTAGCACATAAGCCTATGTATTTAAATATGCAATTGGTCTCGAAATTTCTGATAAAGTTGCATAGTGACCGGAGCCACATAGATACCGAATAAGTTAGCCGAGAAATTCGGGAATACAGGAAAATACGTATAGAAAGGCGGATACCACTATCACATGTTACGTCACAGTCGCCGGTGATGGTTTGAGCACCATATAATCTATTTATTTTATTAGCTATAACTCCTAAGTGGAGATTCTTACAGTTAATGTAATAAGGTTGTAGTTCCTTCCACGCGTAGCGGGGATACGTTTCTGTAACAAGCCGCCATGTCGCTACTAAACTGTACTAACACAGGGGCTCCCATGGCCTCACAATGGCTACACATGGGCTCTCATATCGCCAACTATACCATCGACGTCAATGCCTGCAAGATCAATGGATGCTTGCACGCCGGTGGCAACCGAAAAATAAATATCTAACTGAATTGCTGGCAAGCTATTGCATATACTGCAGTATATGTGTAT